TGTGTTCGCGGGTTTGAGGCATAGGGCCGTCAGCTGCGGAGCAGACCAACACGCCTCCGTCCATCTGCGCTGCACCCGTAATCATGTTTTTCACATAATCCGCGTGGCCTGGGCAGTCTACGTGCGCGTAGTGACGGGTTGCTGTTTCATATTCCACGTGCGCTGTATTAATTGTAATACCACGCGCTTTCTCTTCCGGCGCTGCATCGATCTGGTCATATGCTTTCGCTTCTCCGCCAAATTTCTTTGACAGTACCGTGGCTAATGCCGCGGTTAGCGTCGTCTTTCCATGATCCACGTGACCGATCGTTCCTACATTCACGTGTGGCTTTACGCGCTTAAATTTCTCTTTGGCCATGCCTAATCCCCAATAAAATTATTCTGGAATATGCTTACAATTCCCCAAAAAACACGCATGCTTTTTGGATATATCGCAAACCTAATTGCAATTGGTGCCCATGAACAGAATCGAACTGTCGACCTCTCCCTTACCAAGGGAGTGCTCTACCACTGAGCCACATGGGCTTTATTAGAGCAGGCTCTAATACAAAATACTTGGAGCGGGTGAAGGGAATCGAACCCTCGTCGTAAGCTTGGAAGGCTTCTGCTCTACCATTGAGCTACACCCGCTTACTGAAAAAACAGACCAGCCAATAAGAATTGGCCCTTAGTCTACTAAGCGCGGGCCTAGGATAAAACTAAAAATTGGTGGAGGGAGTTGGATTCGAACCAACGTAGGCGTAAGCAGTCTGCCCCCTTTAGCCACTCGGGCATCCCTCCGAAGAAAAGCGCCGGATTATGCTGTAGTGCATACCCGCTGTCAACCTAAGTCATTAAATCACTGCAAGAAAAATACCCAAACTATGCCTAGCTTACAACTTCCTAGGAATTATCCAGCGCAATTATAAGCCACTACAGAGAAATAAGCCTATACGACTCTACTCTTGAGGTAGGTTGATTTGCCCGCTAAGCTGACCAAAACGACGCTCACGCTGCTGATAACTAGCCAGTGCCGCATCCAATGCTAACGCATCAAAATCTGGCCAAAATATATTAGTGAAATACAGCTCTGTATAAGCAAGCTGCCAGAGTAAAAAATTACTCAGACGATGCTCGCCACCTGTGCGAATGAACAGGTCGGGCTCAGGAGCGTGCGCTAACGCCAGATACTGGGCAAAATCTGCCTCACTAAGAGCATCTTGCACAGAAGTATGCCCCTCCTTCTCACTAACACGCCTAGCGGCTGCTTGAGCAATACATTGGCGCGCTGCTTGGACAATATCCCAACGACCTCCATAATTCGCAGCAATCGTTACGGTAAGGCCTGTGTTATCTGCCGTTTTGCGCTCCGCATCATGCACCAAGTGCTGAAGGCGAGGCTCAAATCGGGTCAAATCTCCCACTACACGCAAGCGAATTCCCTGCGCATGCATTTTCCTCACTTCACGATGCAGCACACTGACAAATAATCGCATTAAAAACGATACTTCACCCGCTGGACGCTGCCAATTTTCAGAGCTAAAAGCAAACAGGGTTAAATATTTCACGCCCCGTAACGCACATGCCTCTACAACCGTACGCACCGTTTCCACCCCTCGCTTATGACCCGCTGCACGAGGCAATTTCCGATTCGTAGCCCAGCGGCCGTTTCCATCCATAATGATGGCAATATGCTCAGGCACAAGGCTTTTATTCAAATCAGAAGCATTTGAAATGGGTGAATCTTGCATAGGGACAAAGAGGTGGGGCGCAGCCGTCATAAGATTTAGACTGTCGTAATTTCAATCTCTTTAGCATGCACCAATCTTTCCACTTCTCCAATAAATTTATCAATAAGCTTTTGAACATCAGTCTGTGCTCGACGTTCATCATCTTCAGATATCAATTTATCTTTGAGAGATTTTTTAAGTTGCTCATTGGCTTCACGTCGCAGGTTACGCACTGCTATTTTTGCAGACTCACCTTCACCACGAACGACCTTACTCAGCTCTTGACGACGCTCTTGCGTGGGAATAGGCATAGGCACACGAACCAGGTCTCCTTGCGCTGCAGGATTCAATCCTAGACCGGCTTCGCGAATTGCCTTTTCAATCGCGCCAATGACTCCCTTCTCCCAAGGCTGCACGCCCACAGTATTTGCATCTAGCAAAGTCAAGCGTGCCATTTGGGAGAGAGGCGTTTTATTTCCGTAGTAATCAACAATAATGTTTTCTATCAAACCGGTATGCGCGCGGCCTGTACGAATCTTAGCCAAGTCGGCTACAAAAGATTCGATTAAGCGCTGCAATTTCTTCTCAAGCGCAGCTTTTATATCTGCAGGGCTCATTAAGGGTCTCCAAACTTTCAAGCAAAAAAATAGCCAGCCAAGAAAAGGCTTATCAGGGCGTGTTTAAAAGGAAGATATATATTACGGCGCGGGCACAAACACCAAACTCAGCACACTTAAAAAAGTATGAGAGTGCACCTAGAATGTGCTTAGGCTTGAAAAGCCCAAACAGGATATTACAAATGCACTAGGGTACCTTCATTATCACCCAGCATAATGCGCCTTAAGGCACCTGGCCTAGTGATAGAAAAAACCCGTATAGGCATTTTTTGATCGCGGCATAACGCAAAGGCAGTAGCATCCATGATCTGAAGATTTTTACCGATAATCTCATCAAAGCTAATACTGTCATAACGAACAGCATGCGGATCTTTACGCGGATCTGCTGTGTAAATACCATCCACCCGCGTAGCTTTAAGCACTACTTCAGCGCCAATCTCCGAACCTCTCAATGCTGCTGCAGTATCTGTGGTAAAAAAAGGATTGCCTGTACCTGCAGCAAAAATAACCACTTTACCTTCTTCTAACTGACGCATCGCACGGGGTCGAATATAAGGCTCCACCACTTGATCCATACGCAATGCAGACTGCACACGCGCTTCAATTCCAACGTAGCGCATAGCATCTTGCAAAGCGAGCGCATTCATCATTGTAGCCAGCATTCCCATATAGTCTGCAGTGGCGCGATCCATACCAGCTGCTCCGCCTGCTACTCCGCGAAAAATATTGCCGCCTCCGATAACAATCGCCATTTGCACTCCTAGGCGCATTACTTCGGCAATATCTCTGACCATACCTTCGATCGTTGCTCTATTGATACCAAAGGCATCATCGCCCATCAGCGCTTCGCCAGACAGTTTTAATAAAACTCGCTTGTACACTGCGCATTCACGAACGTCTGACATACTGACCCAATCAAGAGATGAAAGAAAGGTTTAGCAAAAAAGGGAAAAGCACACACTATTTGGAGACTTAAAGTCTGTTTAAACAAAACTTTAAGCCTCCTTTTATTATTAACTGATGTTATGCAGGTATTCAAAGGGACAGTGGTGCGCATGTTGGGGTTCGTACCTCACCACCAACCTACCATGCTTTCAGAGCTTAAAAGACCTTTTTACACATGCATTTCGGTAGGTTGGTGGTGAGGTACGAACCCCAACATGCGCACCACCCACCTTTAATTTTTGCGCTCTGCCGATCAACCACTCACCGTTATATAACATGCATAACATCAGTTATTAATATTTATTGCTGTTGTGCAAGCGCTACTTGCGCAGCAACTTCATCAGCAAAATTATCTTGACGCCGCTCAAGTCCCGCACCTACTACATACAATGTAAAGCGTTGCACACTGCTATTTGCAGTTTTTAATACTTGAGCAACCGTTTGCTTATCATCTTTCACAAATGCTTGGTTGAGCAAGGATACTTCTTTTAAGTATTTATCAACACTTCCTTGCACCATTTTGGCCACAATGGCTTCAGGTTTACCGGATTCAGCTGCTTTTTTTTCTGCGACGCTGCGCTCTTTTTCGATGAGATCAGCCGGCACTTCATCAGCAGATACTGCAGCAGGTTTCATAGCGGTGATATGCATCGCTATATCTTTACCCACCTGCTCATTGTCTCCAGTGTACTCTACCAAAGTACCCATACGCGTGCCGTGCAAGTAGCAGGCAAGTTTATTGGCAGTTTGGTAACGCACAAAGCGGCGAATGGTCAAATTCTCACCAATACGTCCAACCAGGCTAAGGCGCGTAGCATCTACTGTACTGCGCTCGCCATCGTTGGGCATTTCCAGCGCAAGCAGCGCAGCTACATCAGCAGGATTATGCTCAGCAATAAGACGAGCCACTGCATCTGCAAATGCGATAAAAGCTTCATTTTTTGCAACGAAATCTGTCTCGCAATTTAACTCTACTAGAACGCCCACACCGTTTTCGATATGACCAGCCAGTATGCCTTCTGCAGTTATTCTATCTGCCGCTTTGCTTGCTTTGTTTCCAAGTTTCACGCGCAATAATTTTTCCGCTTCATCCAGATCTCCACCAGCCTCTGTCAATGCTTTTTTGCATTCCATCATGGGCGCATCTGTTTTTGCGCGCAATTTTGCGACCATAGCCGCAGTAACCACTGCCATGTTTATAACTCCGAATTCTGAGACCCTATGTAGACACACTAGGATCTAGTAAATGAAAATATGTACGGTACTGCCCATTTTTTAAATAGGCGCACTAGGGCATGCTCTCAATCGCCCCAAAGGGTTCATATTTGGGGGAGCAGGAGCACAGGATCCGGATGCACTTTTGTACTGCGAGGATCCCGAGCACCGCACGACCCCGAAGATGGGCCCTTTTGGGCGATTGAGAACATGCCCTACAACCCTTCAAAACGGGCTCAAGCTCTAAAAAAGGGGGCTTGAGCCCCCTTTTGATCTGCGTTCTAATCGTATTCCAAAATTGAAACGAAGAAAGTGTAGGCTAGCTCTTCGCTACATACCTATTTAGGCAAGAACCTCTGCGCCATCTTCGGCAGGAACATCTTGTTCTTCACGAATCTGTGCAACTAGGCCTTGCATATTTTTCTCACGCCCTCTCAAAATCGCATCGGCGACTTGTTTAGCATAAAGCTGAATAGCTTTGCGTGCATCATCATTACCAGGAATCACATAATCGACACCATCAGGAGCATGGTTCGTATCTACGACTGCAATTACAGGGATACCCAGTTTATTCGCTTCAGCGATAGCAATTTTGTGATAACCCGCATCGATGACAAAAAGCGCATCAGGCATACCACCCATGTCTGTCAAACCACCGATGGCTTTTTCAAGCTTAACAATCTGGCGATCAAACAATAACGCTTCTTTTTTCGTGAGTTTCTCAAGCGCACCTGCACCAACAGCAGCAACCATTTCCTTGAGTTTATCGATAGATTTTTTCAAGGTACGGTAGTTGGTCAAGGTACCTCCAAGCCAACGGCTATTTACATAAGGAGACCCTGCACGCATAGCTTCATCTGCAATCGTGTCACGGGCTTGACGCTTCGTGCCCACGAAAAGAATGGTTCCATGATTCGCTGCTACTTGCTCAATACATTTGAGCGCGCGGCGAAACATCGGCAGCGTTTTTTCCAGGTTAATAATATGAATTCGGTTGTGCTGACCCAAAATGTATTCAAACATTTTAGGATGACCAAAT